GACTGATTGTTGTCCAGGAGGTTTTTCTGTGTAATAAATGAAGAGATCTGGTTGAAAACAACTCGTTCAAGTGTTCAAGTTTTCGCGACGAATGGAAGAAGAGATACCGGTCTGTAATTTTCCAGATGTGCTGGATTTAGAGTGGGTTTCTTAGGGGGCTTTTACACTGGGCTCGTTTGCTCGGGTCCGAGCCTGAGCGCGTTTGTTCCTGGCGCCCCGTTGGTCTGGTTTCACACTCAACTTGATTCTATCGAACCCTGGTGCGTTTGCGTACATATTACGTCATCGCAAACGTGCACGGCGCATGATAGAAAACAGAACGCGGGTCAATATTGTGTTTTTTATTAATTCGCTGCTATTATGCGCAGTTGAGTGAACAATACAGGTTTACTCTGCGTGTGTCACATAAGGTGGCCTTCTGCTGCTTGCAAACGGACTCTTTTGAGGAGACAGTGGATTTCCAAATTTGGTGCCCTGATTTCACGCGCAATGCACGAATACACTGTAGGCTCACTCTCGCTCGTATCCAAGGTAAATCATCAACACTATCATCCCTTACAAGTGTTTTATTTAACTGAATACACCACAATAAGCTAAAACGCATGCGCAGGTCACTTTACTTCCTGAACAAGTGTGCACCCGAGTCCGTGCTGCTTTCACATTCACGCAAACCGCGGCACAGTTCGGGAGCAACCGAACTCAGACCACCTCCTCCAGGTAGTCTCGGGTTCGGTACCCCAGTTCGGACCCGGGTCCCATGACAGCGTTCACATTAGCGATTTTTCATGCGAACCGTGCCCCGTTCCGAACTAAACTGCCAGTGTGAAAGCCCCCTTAAGCAGTGGGGTTACCTGAGCCTGCTTAAATGCTGTGGGAAAAGTACCATTGTGAAGAGAGGTGTTTATGATGTGTGTGAGTGCGGGTACAACTGAGGAAGAAATGGTTTGAAGTAGATTAGTGGGAACAGGATCAAGTGGACAGGTGGTAGGGTGATTGGAAAGGAGGAGTTTGGAGACATCTGCCTCTGAAAGCAGAGAGAAGGAGGGTAGAATGTGTGTGTTAGCTGGTAAGATGTGCGTGTCATCTTAGTGAACGGGTCTCATTCACTAATAATCGCGTAGGCTACACTATGCGTATTTATACGCACATTTTAACTTCTCACGAAAACTTTCCGGTTAATTCACAACACGTGTATACACATGAATTTATTATTAAAATCTTTCTAATGTTGATGAATTCTAAGTATTTTAAATTAGCGCCCGAGGTCAGTAACTAACATAAAGATGCGCAAGCCATGTCCATAGAAGGGAATTCAGCACACCCTTTTCTTTAGTCACTCTCAGCAAACATCTTTCAAAAGACGCATTCTCGCCTGAGAGTACTTGCTGCCAAGAGTGCCAACAAGTTGAAATGCAATAAACAACTTTTATACAGACCTTACAGAATAGTAGTGGGAAGATCGGAACATTTTACTGACATTTTCCTTTCTTTCATTTCAGCAGAATATTTAAAATGTTACATCTTAATAGCCAAATTCCCCAAACACATCAAATGTTGATCACATTTAGAATAAGAAAAAAATTGCAATGCAAGGAAAATGCCAAATTATGAGAAACAGAAACGATTAATTCATTTATCTGGGTCTTCAGTCTGTTAGTTTTCATCTTTTGAGTCTTCGGGTTTGAATTGTTCGTTCATCACGTGACAGCCCCATTTGCTGAAGCTATGCAGTCAGTACCGGATACAGAATTGATTAGTTCATCTCTTGGGTTTGAGTCGTTCGGGTTTATGTCACGTAACTGTATGTTGTTATTAGGCTATATATATATATATAGGTATCTTTATCAAAGTGATTTTCCTCATCATAGATACATTTTAAAGCATTACCAACTCTTTAGTACCACATTCATATGGAAAAGATCCATCATGACAGAAATTCTAAACAATTATAAATTGTAAGAAATAAAAAAGCTATAATTTGAGACCAAAAACGCAGCATGTAACTGTTAAAACTGACTACACACTTATTTGTAAGAAAGTTTGGGAATTATTAAATAATTTCTGTGTCCAGTGCTGTCACATCATGTCACGTGACAAAAGAACGAAAGACTCACAAGAATCAGACCCAAAAGACTTGAGAGGTGAACTAATCATTTCTTTTTGCGGCACAGACAGCATAGCCTCTATGGGACTGACGGGAAGAACGAAAAACTCGGACCCGAACCCGAAGACTCGAGAGATTAACAAATAATTTCTGTTTCCAGTACAGAACCTATAGGATTAGGATGTTGCGCATGCCGGTCAACACAAAACTAACGAATGACCCAGTGGCACCTCTGATGTCTCACAAATAGACCTGGGCACCTTGCAACCTTACGTTAAGTCTACTATAACAAACCTGGGCGTCAAAATGGACTGCGATTTTAAAATGGAGAAGCAGATCAATTCGGTTGTGAAGGCTAGCTTTTTTCAGCTTAGGCTTCTTACTAAGCTTAAGTCCTTTTTATCTTTTACAGACCTTGAGAGGTGAATGTAAAAGATACATGCTTTTATTACATACATGCTTTTTTTACAACACGACTACTGTAATGCCCTGTATGTAGGTGTCAGCCAGGCCTCCCTCTCTTGTCTACAACTAGTTCAAAATGCTGCCGCTCGTCTCCTTACTGGAATTCGTAAACGAGATCACATCACCCCTATCCTTGCCCCTCTCCACTGGCTCCCAGTTAATTTTAGAATTGATTTTAAGATTTTGTTGTTTGTTTTTAAAGCCCTTAATGGACTAGCCCCAGCTTATATCGCTGATCTGTTGAAGCCACATGCTCCCTCAAGGTCATTACGGTCTGCGAATCAGTTTCTTCTAGTTGTCCCTAAAACACGGCTCAAGAGCAGAGGGGATCGTGCCTTTTCAGCCGCTGCACCGAGACTGTGGAATGAACTGCCTCTCCACGTCAGACTAGCCCCCAGCCTTACGGTTTTTAAATCGCATTTAAAAACACATTTCTTTTCCTTGGCTTTCAACCCAACATGAGAGTGTGATGTTTGCTGTATGTTGAAATTGTCTGGTGTTGTATCTTTTCTAATTATTTATATTTATTGTATTTTATCTATCTACTTTTTTTGTAAATGTACAGCACTTTGGTCAACCTTGTTGTTTTAAATGTGCTATAGAAATAAAGCTTGATTGGTTGATTGATTGATCACTCTCTCCCGAGTCTCATTAAAGATTCGTTCAAAATGAACAAATCGTTCATGGCCGACCCATCACTATTACAGAACTCTGATTGGCCAGCTGTACATCTGCGTCTTCATGCAGAGCTACCTCGCAGCTTGAGCACACCTTTTCTTACTCTTTTGCTTGTATACACTCACCTAAAGGATTATTAGGAACACCATACTAATACTGTGTTTGACCCCCTTTCGCTTCAGAACTGCCTTAATTCTACGTGGCATTGATTCAACAAGGTGCTGAAAGCATTCTTTAGAAATGTTGGCCCATATTGATAGGATAGCATCTTGCAGTTGATGGAGATTTGTGGGATGCACATCCAGGGCACGAAGCTCCCATTCCACCACATCCCAAAGATGCTCTATTGGGTTGAGATCTGGTGACTGTGGGGGCCATTTTAGTACAGTGAACTCATTGTCATGTTCAAGAAACCAATTTGAAATGATTCGAGCTTTGTGACATTGTGCATTATCCTGCTGGAAGTAGCCATCAGAGGATGGGTACATGGTGGCTATAAAGGGATGGACATGGTCAGAAACAATGCTCAGGTAGGCCGTGGCATTTAAACGATGCCCAATTGGCACTAAGGGGCCTAAAGTGTGCCAAGAAAACATCCCCCACACCATTACACCACCACCACCAGCCTGCACAGTGGTAACAAGAAATGATGGATCCATGTTATCATTCTGTTTACGCCAAATTCTGACTCTGCCATCTGAATGTCTCAACAGAAATCGAGACTCATCAGACCAGGCAACATTTTTCCAGTCTTCAACTGTACAATTTTGGTGAGCTCTTGCAAATTGTAGCCTCTTTTTCCTATTTGTAGTGGAGATGAGTGGTACCCGGTGGGGTCTTCAGCTGTTGTAGCCCATCCGCCTCAAGGTTGAGCGTGTTGTGGCTTCACAAATGCTTTGCTGCATACCTCAGTTGTAACGAGTGGTTATTTCAGTCAAAGTTGCTCTTCTATCAGCTTGAATCAGTCGGCCCATTCTCCTCTGACCTCTAGCATCAACAAGGCATTTTCGCCCACAGGACTGCCGCATACTGGATGTTTTTCCCTTTTCACACCATTCTTTGTAAACCCTAAAAATGGTTGTGTGTGAAAATCTCAGTAACTGAGCAGATTGTGAAATACTCAGACCGGTCCGTCTGGCACCAACAACCATGCCACGCTCAAAATTGCTTAAGTCACCTTTCTTTCCCATTCTGACATTCAGTTTGGAGTTCAGGAGATTGTCTTGACCAGGGCCACACCCCTAAATGCATTGAAGCAACTGCCATGTGATTGGTTGATTAGATAATTGCATTAATGAGAAATTGAACAGGTGTTCCTAATAATCCTTTAGGTGAGTGTATGTGAAATCTACATTGTTTAAAATTTTTACTTAACATGTTTATAAGAGTATAAGATTTACGAGTGTTTTCAGTTGTTCATACATTTTTACGTAAATTTAGAATACATTTTTGGAGCGAAAGTTATTGATTAATCATGGTTTGTTCGTGAAAATGTTTGTGCGTAGATTTCGCATACAAATTTGTGTGTACGCATGCTTATTGAATGAGATCCTTTGACCTTCAGCACACTGCCAACACTATGCAAGAGTGCCTTAAGGTGCATATCTGCTGGCAATTCCAAATCCCATTGAAATTAAGCTTCATTGGAAAAGAAAAACCCCATCACAGTCACTTTTTCTTTATACAAATGAAATACATTTTGCACAGATACATATTTTCTGGTGCCATTTTAAATAGCCATGCCATTTAAAACACTTTTCAGAACACAAATAGTGTCTCTCTTAAAATCTGCGTGACTTCATCTCTATGTGAAGACAATATAATAATATATTTTTTTCCCAGATTGAAGGTGCAGGTGATTTTTTTTAATTGCTTTATTTCTTAAACCTTTTGCCACGCACTGAACTCTGCAGTTTCTTTCCGTGATGACTTTGTAAATTACGTTTCAGGTCTCTGTGAATATGTGGAACTATTCTCACACTGAAGACATGTGGAGCCTCATGTGATTGTTAAGGTTTCCTTTAAATCTGAAACTCTTTTCACACTGAAGACACTTGTAAGGCTTCTCTCCAGAGTGAACTCTCATGTGAGTCTGAAGGTTTCCTTTCAGTGTGAAACTCTTTCCACAGAGAGAGCAGGTGAAAGGCTTCTCTCCAGAGTGAATTCTTATGTGAACATCAAGGTTTGATTTGTTTATGCAAGTCTTTCCACAGTGGTGGCACATGAAAGGCTTTTCACCAGTGTGAGTTATTACATGTCTCTTAAGGTGATTGCTGTCTGTGAAACTCCTTCCACACTGATGACATATAAATCTGTTCTCTTTTGAGTGTATCTTCATGTGGGAATTAACTGTTTCTTTACGTCCAAAACTCTTTCCACACTGATCGCATTTGAACGGCTTTTCTCCAGTGTGACTTCTCATGTGAGTCTTCAGATTTCCTCTTCTTGAGAAGCTCTTCCCACACAGTTTGCAGGTGAAAGGATTCTCTCCAGTGTGACCTCTCAAGTGGACATTAAGGGTTGCTCTGTACGCGAAACATTTTCCACACTGGTCACATGTGAACGGCTTCTCTCCAGTGTGAATGTTCATGTGATTTTTGAGGCTAACTTTATGACAGAAACTCTTTCCGCAGTGATGGCATGTGAAAGGCCTCTCTCCAGTGTGAATTCTCATGTGAGTCTTAAGGTTTTTACTGAATCTAAAACGGTTTCCACACTGGTGGCACATGAAAGGCTTTTCTCCGGTGTGTTCTCTCTTGAGGACTTCAAGGTTTTGTTTTTGTTTTGGATTAGATTTAATCTTCTGAGCTCTTTTTCGTGAGGCCATCTTTTCAGCCAGTGTGGATTTTTCTCCAGTCATGAAATCATGATGTTTCTCATATTTCTTTTTCTTTTCTACTTCATTGAGTTCTTGACTCTCCTCTTTCAGCGGCATGAAGTCTAAGGTGAAAAGACAAATACAAGTTACCACCAGTGTCATGAGTTCACCTGCCCATCCATCCTGTCTCGATAAATGATGGCAAACAAATTTGGCTGTGAGTGTGACAGTGTATAAACATTGGCCAGAGGGGAGAATGGGGGCTCTGACAAAATATTCTGCTGTGGCAATGGAGAAAGTAAAGGTAAAGGTAGAGAAAAGGAGAAACAGCACTTCTGATGAAGCGATCACTACTGAGATTATATTTAAATATAGAGGAGGGAGATCTCACTGATAAGCAGAGGTAAACCAGAAAAAGAAAACCATGCACAGCAAAAACTCCAGTGTTAAAGGTGCAGTGTGTAACATTTTTGAGTATTTATTAACAGAAATGCAATATGACATCCATAACTGTGTTCAGTGGTGTATAAAGAACTTAATAAACCGTAATGTTTTTATTACCTTAGAATGAGGCATTTATATCTACATAGGCGCGGGAATCCCCTTCTATAAAGGTCGCCATATTGTGACGTCATGTTTCTACAGTAGCCGAACGCGAACACACAACGCTACAGAGCGCATTTCGTCACTACCTTGAAAGAGAAGCCGCAGGAAGCTAGAAGAAGCTAGTCATAAACACCATGAGTAGTGACTTTTCCCTTGTCAGTGGTGTAAATATGTAGTTGGATTGTTTCATGTAACTTAATTCTTCTCCCTCGCTGTGTTATGGCTTTGCTATGTGGGGATAAATGTGCTGGTTAAGTTCGTGAGACAGCTGATTAGTAGGCTACTCTTGTCATTGACCGTAAAACAGTTACAGGAATCACCAACCCGTCGATCTTGGAAGCATTTTAAGTCGATCGAGTTTCCAAAATCAGAGAAAAAAAGCCTATTGTGTGTGTAGTAAGTGTGTCTAGGGGATGCGGAGGCGCGCGCGCTGTTACAATCACGTCATTTTTGCCGCACGCACCTTTGGGCTCATGCGGACGCGTCGAGTTTAAACAAGGCTTTACGCTTTAACGAGCTCAGCCACAGTAACAGCTCATATTAGCCAGCTAAACTTTTACTACCCTGTTAGAAAAATATATAGTTGCATAGTTTCATGTGGTTCTTCTCCCTCGCTGTATTATGGGTTTGCTATGTGGGGAGAATGTGCTGGTTACGTTCGTGAGACAATCAGCTGATTACTATCATTATATTATGTAACATTAAGACCCTTGATCCTCACCTGAAACTTTATCCATGATGTGGTTTATAATGGACTGTGGTACATAAACTTGGTTTACGCTGGCTATTCTCTGCTGTCTCAGTCGACGATGTTTGTCCCGTTTTAGCCACCGTAGCTTCTTCGAAAGGGAGGGGTGAGCAGTGGGCTGAGCCCTTAGTGTAAACTCGCAACCGAACCGCTAGATGTCGCCAAAAATCACACACTGGACCTTTAAACTCTCCAAGGAGTTTATTTGGCTCCACACTCAAGAGTGTTAAAGTGTTAAAATATGAGTGTTAAAGTTAAAGAGATAATTAAGTGATTAACTGAGTGTTCAGCGTCAGTTCAGGCAGGCCGCGTAGTCAAGCTCAGCTATCAGCTGATACCCAGTCTATCAGCTGATCCGATTAATACGCCTTCAATTAGTTTCTTTCAATCAAGGGCCTTATTTAAAGGCATTTTCAGTTTGTCTGCTTAGCTGCTTCCACTGCATGCTTGCAACCCAACTCCTCCCCTAGCTCCTCCTTTAACTCTGTTTAACTTAATCAGTGTCATTCTGTTTTCACTGATGCATGCTCTGTTCTTAATTGGGGATTTGTTTGCTGCTTTCCCAGTTTTAAATGGGAGATTGTCCCCAGAAGCTGCTGCTGTTACCTGACTAGCTTTCATGGAGCTCATGAAAAGGATGGGTAATTCAGAACAGAGCCATACCGCCAAATATAACTTTAACAATCATGCAAATAAATATTTTGGAAAATAATAGTTTTTTGGTATTTTTGACTCAAGTGGTCCTGACTGAACTGAGTGATAATTGACCATTATTGAAGACACCTGATGTTAACAAGCAGAATCACCAAAAGAGATCAAAAACCTAAATTGTCAGTCACCATTATGTTGATCAGTATTGCTTTAATTTGGCTGCTATAACTGAGTTATTACAGCCTGATGAACAATGAGAAATGCAATCATTTTTGAAGGTACAATTGTAGTGGATGACCTGGAGAATCTTCCCCAAGCCATGTGCCTGCTCTTTGGACTCTGCATTTAGAGTATCCTCTAGTACTGAAGAACACCTTTGATTTCATTCATAGGGCAATTTTGTTACTCAGACACAAGTCTATCAAACGAAAATACAATCACTAAAGAATCATTTGATGCAGTAACCATTACTGAGTTATGAAAATGGTAAATCACTACTGAAGAATATATTTTGCTTCCTGTTGGAAAACAGGCAGTTTGCTTAATGTTAAGTGATTGGTTAGTACATTTTCAAGAGAACTAGGAAACTTGTTCATTAATAAACAAAAAACCCTGAAGGATGTGTTTTGTTTCCTGTTGGAAATCTGGCTTAATGTTAAGTGGCTGATTGTGTTCTTTAATTCTACATTTCACCACTTTGTGAAAAACGGTATTTTTTATTTCCTGAGTGCAGTATGTGCAATTTTTCTTAGTTGTTGATTTGATGGCATGCTGTAAGTAGTGACTTGAATATGGAACAAATAAATGTCCTAGTGTTGTGCTAACAATTTGTTGTCTGTCTTAGTATTAACTTAAATTTCTCAAGGAAGTTGTACTCAAAACTCTAAGGCAAATAGGCCTGGAATTGGCTGAAATTTCTGAGGGCTGGGTTACCAATACTTAAGTTTTAAAGGGTCACTTCACCCCTTTGCATTAAGGTTTGTATTGTTAGAAACCCAGTCATATATTATAATGATGGTGGAATTTTGCTTGTTTTTTTTCTGAGATGGGAGAAAAAAGGATTTAAGTGTTTTACTTCCGTCCTATCGTGACGTAAATATCGTCATTTTGCGTCACGATAGGACGGAAGATAAATTTCATTGCATATTAAGAAAACTACAGCCTTTAGCTCATTATTATTCAAGGGCGTGGGACCCACTCACCCCACCGGCCTATTACAGATCAGTGGGTGGGACTAAACCTGAAGAAACTAAACTATTAATCCACCATCTTGCTTGGAAGACAGCAAGCTAAGCTAACAAGCGCTCAAGGAGTTAGATTTACCATAATGCCTGAATTTACGACACACGATATGGAAGACGAGGATTTTGAAAATCTTTTGCTCGAAACTGATGTTCGTGGCTATTTATACGAGCCACAATATAGCGAAGAGCAGCTGAGGCTGATGGAGGAACAAGAGGCGGCGGCGTCGGCTGCGTTGTTGTGGGAAGAATGAGACGGGAATCGGCGAACATTTAAACATTTTAATAGTAAAATAAACAAATACAAAACAAAAGTATAAGCCAGCAGCCCCTCACTGCTGGCCACACACAACAGAAACAAAACACACCATAAAATCAGGCCTGTTCCTCTCTCGATCTGCCCTGTCGCTCCTCGTTTTATGCGTCCGCTCCTCGGTGAGAGACGCGAGAGAGACCAATGCGTCTCACAGGTGTCGTCCATTATCACTCACGCCACCGGCCTCGCGCCGCTCTCACGTCCCTCGTCCTGCTCGCCACAGCCAACTAACTATACATTTTGTGTGAAATGAATTTCTAACTCTGGTGGCAGCTAACGTTAGCCCTGTAGAGACGGAAGAGTGATTTCTCTGATGTTTGCGACTTTGCGCTGTTCTGGATTAGTGGGAGTGGCTTGCGAAGCTGTGCAACGTGGTGCATTCTGGGAGTTGTGGTCTTACACACAAATGCGCCCTAAAGTTATTTTCTGTCTTTTCTCGGTCAAGAGGGCACCAAATTCAAATTTTTTTTTACATTTCGACTACATATATGACCCACTTTCAATAAAGATTAATGTTGAAATGGGTGAAGTGCTCCTTTAAAATAAATATTTCAGTTAAAAAACATCAGTTTCAACTGGTTTTCTAAGTAACCTCAACTTATTACTTTTTATAGTGTACATCAAACTCACTGAAACAGACATCTTGTTCATGATGCGAGGTTTTGATTATTGTCTTTTGCAATGCTTGAATGCTTTGGCAATACAAATGCAAAAATATTGATATTGCAAAGGGTTATTTTTTGCAACACCCTTAAGTTTAAGGGACACCTAAGGGCAATCTTAAGGGAAAATTACACTGGAGGTGCTTTATGTGACCGGGCATTTTCAAGAAACGCATCTTTTTCGCCAACACTTTCTATTCTTTTGTTCCCTTTTTATATTAAAAGAAAACCTTGCTACATGTATTTTGCTAGACTAACTGAGGGGCAATTTTCATATTTTTCAAAAGAAATTACAATTATATCACCTAAATGTTTGCACACTCAATGTATTTGTGTTTTTACAATAAAGTAATTTTGTTGCAATAGTTCACAGACAGCACAAAGAAGCGTGATAGTTCTAACAGCAGTATTCAGGTAAATACCACAGAAATTGAATAATCAAATGTAAAATATATCTACATACTCTTAACTGTATGAATTAAATATAGATTATTCCTTATTAAAGCTACAAAAACTTATTCAGACAAGAGCAGTGAGCAGTTTTTCTTTTGTTGTTTGATTCACATTGATGACACAGTTATAATTAGGCTCCTGCCACTTTAAGACTGAATGCACGGATCCAATGTACCTTTACACAAGTTCCTTCTCACCTGTTTACATTCATAATCAATATAACTGACTGTTTGCATAAATACTCGCCAAGATGGGCATTTTGACAATTTTACGCGTGTTTGATAAATAACTCAATTTAATTCTCGCGGGCTGTTTGAGAGGTGGCTTTATGTGTGCGTGCTTTGGCTGAGAGCGCACAGAACAAAGTCTCTCGTTAGGACATTCTTCAAAAATATCATTCATTATGAAGGTGGGGGATGAGGTGGTGGCCCTTGGGGCCCT